GATTGCTTGAGAACATTCATATTTTCTTCCGAGAATGCGGCAGATAAAGCAGAAGGACGATTGGCTGAAGAAGGACGAGATGTCCATACTTGTTCCTAAAAAGTGAACAAGTCCTAGATGGAGCCCAAGGTAACATCAGTGTCCTGTAAAAAAATGCAAACATTTAGCATTTTCATTGAAGTAAATGAAGTGAAGATGAAAGATAAAATAAAGGCTACCTTATCAGCAGCTTTAGGAAGTTGGGGCACATCACTGGTTGACTCAGCCACTTGTGGAGACTTCCCCTTGTCTAGACAACTAGGCTCTGCCACAACGGGCAAGTCCATGGGAACCTCTGTAAAATTCAAGTAGCGATGACTTGAAGGCCAATAGCACAAATAAGGGAAAAGACATTACCTTCGGGTTCAACACGTGGGCGATCAACACCCTGGGAAGGTGGCAGTTCTCCAGTTAGCTGTGCATGAGAAGACTCTGAGACTATGGATTTCTCTTTAGGCAAAGCCCCTGCATCATAAAACTTGGATGAAGCAGCTTTAGTAGAAGGCGATAGAGCAGGGGTTGCTAAAGTCAGAGTCTTCGAAGGAGAAGTTGAGCTCTTCTGAAAAATTCAGGTAAAAACATTAACCTATGAAGAATTGTTGTTTCATGAATAAACAAGCACAATTACATTTCTCCTGACTATGAGAGGAGCATCATCATCATCATCGGGCAAAACTGGTAGAGCTGAAGTTAGCCGTTTACGGCTAGAAGCACCTTTAGCTGTACTAGCTTGAGCAGGTGGGCAACCAAATGGAAGAGCAGAACGTTTGACACGAGTATGTGGTGATTTAGAAGGGGAAATGGGATCCCTGACAGATACATGAATGGCAGGAATAGGAGAAGAGGAAGTCTTTGGCCTCTCTAGTAGGTGGAAAGCACGGTTAGCGTCAGTTGTGAATAGTCTACGTTTCACAGACGGCCAGAGTTGTTTAAAAGGAGCCAAGGAAAAACCTTTGGTCAAAAGATTATTATGGACATCAATGGCTTGTGCCTCTGTTTTATTTATTGTATGAAAATGCTCTATCAAGCTCTTAGAAAAGTAGGGATGAACATGCCACATCTGGCTAAGACCAAGCTGACGAGCAAACAATTGGGGAACATATATCTCAACCCCAGCCTTGGCATTTGTTCCGGTTAAAATATCATGGAACAGTTCCTTCCCAATCAAGAATGAGCCCAAATGGGCAAGAATGTGCTCACATCATCCATGGTGGAAGGAGGTTGCACGTAGTTTAGAATTAAGGGAGCAGGGAAAGGAAAAAAGGTAGAAATTGAATTCAGGTTGTAAAAGAATGAGAAAACATCCCTATTGGACATATTTACGGAGCTCAATTGGTTAATAGCGAGCCCATAACAACTAACTGCTCGAGGGAGAGATGGTGGAGCATCAAGTTGGGGAAAGTATGCTCTCAACCACAATTGAGCAAACTAAATAGGCCTACTACCAGTAGGAGATGCACTATTCTTCAATTGAAATTGGAGAGAAGTCATGCCTCTATAAAGGGCGGCTAAGAATAATGAACAGATGTTTAAAGATCTACCACGCGCTAATTCATGCACTATAGGTAGATAACTCATGGAAGGTTTCATGCTAGGCACATAAAGAACGTATTTACAAAGCCTAAACTAAAGAAAGGCCACACGCTCAACATGGGAAGGTTCAACGCTAGAATTATTATACATTTCTTGCATGCCCGAGTAGGAATCAGTAAGTTTCTTGTCAAATTTTGGGGCAGCAGCAGTAACCAAAATGCCAGGAAAAATGGTGTTGCCCAATGGCGGAAGGTTTACTAGAGCTCCAACGTCCCTCAGAGTAATAGACATTGGGCCAAGGGGGAAGAGCAAAGTGTTGTACTCAGAAGACCAAAAACTTAAAGCGATGGGAAAAAGCACCGGGTCATAAATTGAGGGACGGAAAGCAATTTCTAATAAATCCGAAATCCTAGCACGATCAAAAATCTCCTTGGTAGAGCCATGATTTACCATACTTGCATGCCACATACGAAAAGTAATGTCAGTTTTAGGCCAGTGCAAATACCTTTCTCGCAAATCGGTTTCAGCGATAGAGAGTTCAGAAAAGAAGGGTCTTGAGTGTAAGGGAATAGCTGACCCACCGCCGTTTGCCCGATAGATTCCGCATCATTAAACGACAGACCCAGATAAAATTCATGGAGGTCAGGGTTGGCTGGTGAAAGAAAAGTTGAATTTATATACGGCCTAATAAGGAGGTTTTGGAAATCCTCGAAACTAAGGGAGTTGTCGGAAGGAGTTTGTGAAGTCGCCATTTGATACAAAATATAGTCTATGTGAGGGTTGCTTAAAAAGCGTAGCAGAGAAGCAAGAAGATGAACAGTGAACAGTGAACAGTGAGAGAGAAGCACGCAAAGCAAAGACGTGGGTGTAATGGCGCGATGAAGTGGTGTGTCCTTAGATTTATAAGGGTTATGTGATGTTACACTTTTCAGGGTGTAGAGGGTTATCGTCAATGGAAATAATAGTTGGAATTCTCTGCCCTTTTTAGGATTTCAAAGTATTGCCAGAAAATATAAAGGAAGAATATGGTATAAGATTAATACTTGATATTCATTTTGCCATAGTGGGGGGTAATTGTTGACATACAAAAATGAGACCCAATTAAATGGTCCAAGAGATGGAGCCCAGTTATGGAATTTGAAGGATAGGTTTAAATGAGACCATTGTAAACTATAGTGGAGGCCCATAAACGGAGGACTATTATCGCCCAAACCTGCAGGACGCCTAGGGCCTAAGCGAATGAAGTACCTTATTGTCGCTCAGAGAGACAGTCGCATTCTCACCCAAGCCTTCAAGACGCCAAAAATCTGAGCGAATACAGCATCTTGTTGTTATTTAAAGCGGCGGTTATTGAAGAAGTTATTGAGCAATTTTATCACGTTCCACGATTCAAGAATCTCGGTTGCAAGCAATTAAAAGAGGGGAGTAATAGCATGCAGATTAAAAATAGCGGTTCCTTGACACGNTACTGTCTTCATGTATATATTACGGCTAAATTGGAATAAGAAGTAACAATTTAGATTCTTTCATATCAGTATTTTCACTATTACCAAGCTACCAATAAGTGAGTGATACTTAAGCAGCTAAACAAAGAATAATTAACAATACAAACGTCACAACTAGCACTAGTCCAATAGTATTAGAGAACCACTAAAGCCCACAAACGTCATTGACGCTTCGAGTGGATTTGAACAGTAGTTGTATCATATACTTCAAGATTCTTGACGATTTTTATTATAGTTTCCCGACCCATTTATTAGTCACAACATTCTTAGTCTAATGAAACAAGCAGAATCTAGTTCTATTCTTAGACCTCAATTAATTATAAATAAATAAATAAAATGTATGTTTTAAAATAAAAAGAAAAGTCAATTAATGTCAATTCCTTCTCAAATTATTGCGAATCAATTTGTCAATGAAATAAATGTAATTCGGGAAAATTTGTAGCGTCTTTCAGGATATTAAATATAATGAAACTAGGAAAGTATGTAAATGTTATTTTAGACAAGTAATAAGCGAGAAACGCTCCTAAAAGGTCGGTAAATTGAAAAAATAAGTAGTTGTTTTCGACAAACAACTCTAAATAAAACTTTCGATCGTTTTCTGTTACAAAACATATATTTTAAACTTTGTCGTACGTACTTTAAAATGATAGTAAAGTGTTTAGAAACCGTATAAATAATAAATATATAAAAATGGGTGATGAATAAATGGGTATCATTTATAAATCTCACGAAATGAGTGGATAAAAAATAATTTAATCATTTATAAGCCATTAATAAAAATTAGTCAAGATAAGTTGAATTGTACCCATCATGCTTACAGATATTTCACATGAAAAAGCCACATTTGATTATGGTATTAAGACGGGCAAGGAAAGTTATAATCTTTGTAATTGTATCTATCATGATTGTGTGAATGTTTAGAATACAATTTTTTCGAATCTTTACTTAAAAGTGAATTAAATTTAGTATTGTTTTGGCAGCATGTTAAGGGAAGAATGAAGTTCTTGTCTCCTCTTCGTTACTGCTTGCAAGTCGTACTCTTAGGATCAACAACCAATTTTTCAAGAAAGAGTAACAAAGGTAACACATTCAGGATGTCATTTTAAAGTAAGTATGACAAGATTTAAATCGCACCGGAGAATTCGTCGAAAAATTTACTCAAAAGAGTTGTTAGGTGAAATTGGCTACTCGACAAGTTTTCAATGTATCATACTTTTTAGCACCGTTTACTCAAGCCACTTGATTTGCTACCGCTGGACTTGATTTGGCCCACTTGGCAAACCAGCTCGTCGCTTCAAAAAAAATCTCGACAAAAGTTCAATTTTTAAATTTAATATTTTGTTTCTCCGCTCCCGAATGAGCCGATGCAAGTGGTTCGCGCAGTAAAATACAGCTCAACTCACCCCATGACTCTCCTCCAAGGCGAGTCCAGCTAGCTCGGCTCGTGCGTGTGTTGAGTCGATTGGTACTTGCTTAAGCTTTGTGTTAGCGATGCACATAGGATCCAAGTGGTCTGAATTGCTTGTGAGTTCAAATTATTAGAAATTCTTCTAAAATCAACGTAACAAAATATTGATACCCATTTGTGCCTCCACATCAGAGAAGATTAAAATTAAGGTAGGATACATAAATGTTATATATGACATACAGGGGAATTCCTCTTATTGATAGAAGACTGAAATTGGTAGCTGCCTAATGTATACTTCTGAACTCAAAGTTACAGCCCAAAAATTGTTTTTGGCCCTTAAAACTCCAATCTTAATATAAAAACTGTAGAAGCCCCTAATCGGAAGAATTCCCCTGAAAGAATAATGTTCAAACACCAAAAGAATGCATCCCAACTGAATGGTATAAATTAAATTGATTATGATTATTTAAGTTACAGTTCTCATATCCAAAGATGTTCTATCCATACATTAGATGTCAGCTGCAGGAATTCGACTGTGATTTCCAGTCGTCAAGAAGTCTGTTTATCGACTCGCCAAACTTCTTCTCTTGAGGCCCCGGCTTTAAAACATTCACATCACCCCACTGAGAGCACGGATCCATCAGCCAATACTTTCGGCCGGTACACCATGCCCCGGGGGTAGCCCGGTTTCGACCTCGCTTGAGAATCTTGCTATCAATCATGTCAAGCACACGTTCGTCTTTTGCAAACTGCCTGGCAAAAGCAGCTCCACTTTGAACCATCTCATCATAATTTGAGGTGTTGAGGAAAAGGGGTTCCATCTTAGGGGGGCTATCCCAGGCAACATATCTCAAATCACCATTGACTGTCGTGTTTTTGAATTCAGGTGAATTACAAATAACAGAATGGAAATAGAATTCTTGTGGCAAGACAGCATTAGTAAAATACATTAAAAGGATTCGTGGGAGATTATCCCAGCCTAAAACACAGAATTCAAGGAAGGATCGGCTCAAGATGACCCATGGAGAACCTGCAGGAGAAAAGAATTTCTGACATGTGCAACTAAAATCTCAAGTGAACAGTAATTAGAAACTATACAACTTATACAGTATGACTGATTTACCAGTGAAAACCTTGAAAGCATCAGGCATTGGCCTCTTCTCTGTCGCATGAAAGATTTGGGTCCTCCTAGCCAAGTACGTACCCGGGTCAACTACAATGGGCTCAATTCTTTGACCCCTGCAATAACATTATGCAAATATAATTAGTCATTTTTTTGGCGAAAACTGCATAATGGTGACTCTGAAGCAGAAAGGATTTGCCTACTCTTTCCATCCAAGGTCACTAGTGTGATCAATGAAATTCAGGTCTCTCCTAACAGATGAAAACACATGGGACAAATCTGAAAGAAGATTACAGAACATATCAGAATTAGAACAAGTAGACAGGAAGTCAAATGTAACAAAATGAAAAAGAATACATTATTCTAGATTACATATGGAAAGAGTATTACTGCTTGCAGCACGGTAAATTCATGAAAAAAAAAAACATTAAATATTGTGCTAGCAATGTGAAGGCTAAAGATCTATGCAACAATGACAACGAAACTCGAGGGACAAGACTAGAAATAAGCACTTCAGCGACCTAAAGATATTTGGTAGCAGCATGCATGGCTTCACTCTTGCCTAAAATTTAAATACGTAATAAAATCCTAGCTGTGAATATAATATATCAGTACTTAAAAGTTCTGTGTCAAGATTTTAGATGTGATATATGTAAGTCGCCATGAAAATATATTGAGCTGGAGCAAACAATCAAATTCTTGAAAACACCCCATAGCTGATCTTAAAAGATGAAAATTCTCTCTTTCAGCATCAAGAATTATCTAACTATTCCACACAATATACATTGTTTGGTTTGTGTCCCCAGTGCTGTATTTCGTAGGAAACAACTTGCTTATATCAGCTGATAAAAAAGTTTCAGAAGCTAGCTCATTCATCCTGTTGAAGACTGAATTTAGATATACAAATGAGTCTCTTCTCTAACAACTTAGCTTTTAGACAAGATGGTGTAACATGATATCTGAGCCAGCAGAGCTACAGGTCAAAATCTTACTATCGCCTATTTATGAAAAATTGTGCTTGCTTCAGGCCTTTAATGAAAAGGTCTGCGCAGCCTGCACGGAAGGGGTTGGGTTGAAGATAAAATTTAAATAATAAATGCTACTAAATTAAGGTTTTAGATTAGGTGGTGTAACACATCCCAACCTGCCTCCTTTCTCCTCATTCCTCTGTGAAGAAGGTAAAAAGTTTTACACCCCTCCCCCACCCTTTTGTCATATCTGTCTGAGAAAATTAAGCCCCCGTTTGACACCCATTTTCTTTCTCATTTTTCTCTTTCTTCATTTCAACCACACATTCTATCAATAAAATAATATTACACATAAATCAAAAAATTATCATTACTTTTTAACTATACATTCTTCCATCAATCATTATTCCAGAATTTATTTTTCTCCAAAATGGGTGTCAAACACATCCTAAGTTTCACATAACTTCTGCACAAAACAAGAAAAATAAAGTCGAGATCATGCCTACAACACACACAAGACACCTGTGCACTGGAAACCATGGAAATCACATCAAAAGGAGTGCGCCTCAATCAATGAGGTATTTGCCTAATTGGAGTAGTACAATATTTAGCACTTCAAGGCACAGTTGTGAGGCGCACCTCTGTTGTGCCTTCTTAAACCATGGGTGTATAAAGAAAATCATTTAGGCACAAAAGCTAGTGTTAATTCATCAACAGAAGCCTTACATTCTGTAGATCATTGGATATGGATTTGGTTCCGCAGTCATGTGACTAAAGTCATCTTTCATTTGTGCAATGCGAATGTAGGAAGGACTAGTACAGAGTCTTGATCGTCGATTTATAGCTTCGGAAGTAGTTTGGATGAGGTAAGAAAGGATAGCATATTTGGAAATAAAAGCATATTCGGAAATAAATGAAATTGTAGCATGCAATACAAACTGATTGTGACTCGAACACCATCAGCAATAATAAATTATGGAGACAAGTTAAACATCCATTAAAATAGCCAAATGGATTAAAGCTATATAAAAGAGTATGAAACTAAGCTCTCCAAAAAAGATAGTTGGAAGAGTTAGCTAGAATGTGAGTTTAGTTGCTACATTAATTGATACTATAAATGTCCACAGTATTGGAAGACTGCCAGAAATGGTTGTGATGTACAATTTTTTTGGTGATGGGGATTTGAGTGCACAGTTGTGCTTCAGTCATGCCAAGTGAAAGAATAAAATGACTGTTGGAGCTGAAAGGCCCTTAAATGGAAAAGAGTATAGTTTATTCTGAAAGCATAAATAGCTGATGAGGGGGCATCTAGCGCGAGGAAAATTTATAGGATTAAGTTATTTGTACACCTTGATTGACATATTGAATATTGATGACGTGGAAATGTTATTATGGTTGGATTAAATGTGTGAGATGTGAAAGATGACGTGAGATTGTGCAAGTGTAAATTCGGTAAGCAGGATATGCATGTAGCAAGATTGAAATTTGTATAGGCACAAAACTTATTGAAAATAAGATTTGTTATATTGGTGACTCTCCTGCACCTATAATCTACTCAATTCTTGGGGACAATAATCTTCTCCTCTAACTATAGATTCTTCAGTTGTATGCACTTGCGGCTATCATCAATTGATCTAGCTGAAATTTGACGAAATAGTAGGATGAGCTATCATCTTGGCATCAAGATTAATGGACTGAGATTAAAATTTCAGAAAATCAAGTCTACACTGTCAGACTAGACCCTCTATGCGTGTAACAGCACGTTTGTAAATATAAATAGTGTCAATTTCATCAAAGCATCAATCTTTCCAATCAAAAAGTAACACATTCTATTATTCATAACCAAAACCTATAATCATTGTTCAAGAAGAAGGCAAGAGAAAGATACTGCTATATTAAACATTACCATTTCAAGAATCTAACTGCAAAAACAAATGAAAAGACAAGAAAATTCAAATAGTAAACTATGCATACCATCCTGTGTAACCAACGGATAATCCATAGCACTTAGAGTGACAAACCAATCCCACTTAGCATCCACCTTCAACAAAATTGTGGCCGCCCTCAAAATGGCGGCCATATTCGTGGACCCCATGTAAGTCGTCGGATCGGGCTTCCCTATAACATCCACATTCTCGAAGGCTCGAGCAGCAGGCAGGGACTTAACCATTACACCCAGCTTCAGCCTTTCCTCCTTAGTCCCATCCGCTGAAATGTGCAATAAATACCTATTCCTCGGATGGTACACCGCTAGCAACAATCTGAAAATCCGGTCCCCATCCCCCCGGCCGCCTGAAATATAGTAGGCGAAGGCTGGGGGATGGCCAAGCCCGCGATGCGCCACGGAAGAAAATGGCTTATGTGTGGCATAGTCATAGGAAAAACTGAAGCCCGAAATGGTGGACAGGAATATAAGAATTGAAACAAAGGATGCAGAAAAAAGGGTGAAGAGCCATTTCTTTTCAGCTCCCATTTAGATTCCTGCCTTTGTAGCATGGAATGGATAAAAATGCAGAAAAATCAAAACTTCACACCAAAAAAAGCTATTTTACACATAAAAATGCAATTGGGCATAAGATTTATAGATCTTCATGAGAGTGCCAGAAAAATCTCTGCTTACTTTGTGGGTTATGGTAATTTGAATTAGATTTACGGGATTATGAAAATCTATTGGGGATTATCCGATTAGGGTTTGACCGGGTGTGAGATTTTGGTTGAAAAGCCAATATGTAAGAAGTGTGAAAATGGAGACCATTGTTTTCTTGCTTTGATTTTGCTTTATTGTTCAGTTACTAAAATTGACATTAGATGAAGTTTAACGAATGCTAATTGTTCAAGATTAGTTCCACATTTAAAACAGTGCTCGTTTAAATTTTGTACACTCTCGGAGTAGGAGCGTGTAAAACACGAAGGGGTTTATTGACTCTGTCGGCAGTAGCCTTGCACGTGCAAAAAAAGAAGGTCGTGGGTTTGTGGGTACGAGACTTTTCCCTCGCTCTATATATTTTTTCGCTTTCTTTTCAACTACACGTTATTCAATAAAATAATATTAAACGTCAATTCAAAAAAAAATTCTTACTTTTTATTCACACATTCTCCAAGAATTCACTTTTCAAAAAAAGTTTTTTTTTTATTTTTTAAAATTACATTTCGATGGATCTCAAACAATGCATTATTTTTTGTGTTGATTTTAACCAAGTGTAGAAAGTGAGGTGAACCCCTCGTCGGCTCGTTTCATTATATTAATTTGACTTGATTCGCGCACACTGAGCTGCAAGCACGAGTCAATCCATGTTTCCATGTAATGAACTGCTAGTTCACTCGCACTATATGACTCGCAAATTGGACAAGCTAGCTCGTGAGTGAGCATGCTATCCGAGCTCATTCTCGACCAGTGAATAGGCCTAGATGAGCCTACTAGGTTCCCTTGTTAAAGCATGAGGTCCCAGCATGCATGCATGCATTAGGGGGGCGATTTATTCCTGACCCGGGCCAGCAACCAAATCCGTTTTTCTTATAGGAGAAAACAAATTTTAGTGTAAAAAAATATGTTAGGTGGAATTTCCCTTTTTTTTATAGCACTAATTCAAATTTAAAAACAAAAATGGGATTAATTCAAAATTAAATTTCAAATCATATTAAGAATTGTCATAGTGCAAGAGTGAACTTGAGGAATTGATGAAAAACGGGTTCAGAATTTTTTTGGAGATAATGGATGTAGCCAATTTGTTCAACCAATTAAAATTCTAATCTCTTTTAGCGTTGCATAGTGGCCCAAATATAGTTGTGAATTGCGTTTTGGTTGAAGAAAGTTTTGAAAAAGTCAAAATATGAATTTGGGATTTTTAGGGCAGGGATTGGCACCCAATCCATGACATGTACGGTTTATATGTAGTTGGCTCTTCACTTTCTCCTCATCCATTTGTGATGTTTCTCCACATAAATCTTGGTGTTCTTGATCGTTAATTTCATATGACATATTACTCTCATTTATTGAATCTAACAAGCGGTATCAAAGCTAGATTCTATCAACTCAATTCAATGTTTGATTTTTATGATGTCAACCATGAAATATGATATTCTACTTTTGGATCGCAGCACAAGATTTTTGTTATGGCGGGTAAAGATGTGAGCAATGCTCGATCATATGGATTTGAATGATACTTTGTTGGGATTTGACAAGATACCCTCAAATTAGACATTGGAGGAGAAACAATATAAGGATCGAAAGGCTCTATCACATATTTATTTTCATCTTTCGAATTATATTCTTCATGACATTTAAAGGAGAAAACTGTTGTTATATTATGGTTGAAGTTGGAGCAATTGTACATGATGAAAAGTCTAATCAGCAAATTGCATTTGAAGCAGCGATTGTATTCTCATCATATGACAGAAGATACATCACTTGAAAATCACCAGCTGTTTTTAAGGAAATTGTCTCTGATTTGGAGACCTTGAAGATCGAGTATGATGAAAAAGATTTTAGATTAATTTTGTGGTGTTCACACTTTTCTTATGTATCCTAATCGAGATTTGTTAATATATGAAACAATTTTAAAATGTGTTGTGGTAATGAAAAATAATGCACATTGTAAGATAGTTAGTATTGGAATGATCAAAATTAAGATGTCTGGTGAAACTGTCAGAAAATTTGATGAGGTGGGACATGTTTCAGATTTGAAAAGAAATCTTATCTCGTCAACTCTCGATTGAAAATAATATAAGTATACTAGGGAAGGTCGAGTTTTGAAGGTTAGTAAGTGTACCTGTATTGTGATGAAGGGACGAGGAGGTCTTAGTTATATGTCTTTAAAGGTTCTACAAAATCTTTGGATATCAATCAGCAGAAACTAGACACTCGGGTGGAGTTTGAGTTTGGTACAGTGCCGTCGGAGTTTGATTTAGGATCTACATTGATTAATACATCTCAGTCAAGTTAAGAAGTCATGGGTAATGCCATTTTGCCACCATTATCAACGATGCCACAGTATTTAATTGCTAAAGACAGACCCCGAAGAAATATTAAGCATCCACAAAGGTACGATGAAGCTGATTTATTTGATTATGCTTTAAATGTGGTCGAATGTATTAAGTCTATCAAAGAACCTTCTTCAGAAGCAGATAGTTGTATTGATTCTGATACAAGGAGTGTTACTGCTTGTTTGGTATTTATTGTTGAGTTATTTGTGATTTTGCTGCTCGTGAAGATAATTTGCAGATAGTTGTATTGATTCTGTTATAAGGTGTGTTACTGCTTGTTTGGTATTTATTGTTGAGTTATTTGTGATTTTGTAGCTCATGAAGATAATTCAAGCAACTTAACACCCTAGGTAATCATGCTAAGCAGTGCTTGGATTCATTTGATATTTAGTTATTAAGCTTGTCCTGGTTGTAATTTGTCAATAGGTGGAAATTTTTTTGTTGACAAGTCAAGTTCTATTCTTTATAGTGAAATTTGTCTCAAGATGAAAAGTTTTTGAAGCTTAGTTCATTATAGTAGAATTTGTGTAGGTGGAAATTTGTTAGATTGTAACTCAAATTCCATTGAGAATTTGTGTTTTGGTTGAAAAAGGCTTTGAAGAAGCCAAATTATAAATTTGGGATTTTTGGGGCAGAGATTGGGCCCCTATGTGCCAATTGAGTGTGAAAATCGAATTTGGAACAATGATTCAGCGCCTGATGACCAAACAGAGCGTTGTCCTGTCACTCGTTGTTCGTAAGGTTGAGCGCTTGAAAGCCTGTGTTATCTGGTCAGAGCTTACTTCTCGATTTGACAAACTTTAAGATACTCTTTTCATCTATAACACTATAATTAGGGTTTAATGTGTGCTTTATATAAAGTTGGCCTTCATTGTGATTTAAAACAAGTTAGAAACACAAAATCTTGTATTATTTCATCTTCTATTGAATGCTCCTCATCTACTCGTGATGTTTTTTCCAAGTAAATTTTGGTATTCTTGATTGTTATTTTCATTTTGTCATATTACTCTCGTTTAGAATCTAATAAGTGGTATCAAAGTAAATCTGTATCCCTTGTTTTATAACATCTAGTTTAGTGAAAATGTATTCCGTGCATTCATCGTGCTATGATAGATTATTGCATTTAAAGAACTATGAAGATCGAACACGCAAAAGAAAAATAAATAATGAAATTCTCTTCTAGTTAAGTGAAAATATATTCCATGCATTCATCGTGTATTTATAGATTCGATACCGCCGCCGCCGCCATCATTGCATCCCCACTACCTGCACCAACAGCCCAATAGCGCCACCACCCATCTGCACTAACAATCCAACACACAACCCACATATAGATGCATAGATAGTACCACATTGCCGCACCACCTGTGATTTGAAGAGAAATTGAGAAAAAAATGAAGAAAATGGAAAAAAATTTGAAACAAATAACGTTAAAATTCAAAAAAGCGGGTTGTCGCTCGAGTGAGAGGCGAGCCAGATAGTTTTTACTTTTATCGCTCAAGCGACGCTCAGCGATAAGCTGGCGAAAAACTTTCAACACAAATAGCACTGAATTTTTGAAAATTTCGAAAAATATCCCCACCCCCACCTTTTTTAAATAAGCATCCGACATATAGATGAACTCAACAATGCACGTGATCACAAGTATTGCATTATCAATAAAAAAAAAATTTCACGTACTCAAATCAAGTTCAAATGGAGTAAAGTGTATAAGTGACTCACGTGTGGTAAGTGCCACTATTTTCTCATAACTTTAAATTTGCGAGAAATGATATGTGAATATCACTGTTAAATAAGTATTTTTCCTTACTAATAAAAGTCAAATTCATAAGATTATTAGGATCTTAAAATGAAGCTCAATTTCACGTATATTTTTCTTCTCTCCCCCTGAATTTGAGCATATATATATATATATATATCGTTTTTTCTTTTTCAACATATCATTTTTCTCAATTATTACATCTTATGTACAGACTTTTGTTAGATTAAGCGACTAAAATGACCCATATAATGAATATCGGGCCGATGACTCCAAGTCAGTTGACCATAGGGCATCAAGTTGTGAGAAACCCCTCAACCTTAATTACTCGAGTCAAATAGGCTTCGAAAAAGAGTATAAGATGAAACACTTTTTATTTTATGATAAGGGGATTATATGTGAGATTAGGTCATTTAAATGAATGTCAATTCATGTTCAAGGTCACATTACCAATAGATGACTGTCATTCTAATTCTCACACACGCGGTCTAAACTCACTCACAAGATCATACTGTGTGCTGTACAGATGGTACATGAAGAAACATAAACCTAGTACTCCACATTAAATCTAACCAAGTAATGAAAACCACATTACAGATAAGATGAATGCAAACTCGGTCACAAACGTAACATTTAAGAATATCATAAAATGTCCAGTAGCACAATTTTTTTTATTATATATTTTTAAAAAATCAAGATTTTTAAAAGCAAAAAATAAATAGAACTAAACA